AAAGCAAAAAAAGACCGCAGTATATCGATCATCACATCACCACACAACTCTCCCCAGTCGGGCAGAACTGCTCGCAGTAAGTCGCGGGGATGTAATCCTTCGTCTTGATGATGCCCCCTTTCCTCCTGATTTCAATGGTATATTCATTTGGTGGAGTCCCCTGCGCAGGCACATCGTACCACCACTTCAACGTTTGTCCTTCTATCGACCAGCGTCCAGCGCTGACTTTCACATCTACATCCACCAAGTCATTGCCCACCACCTCACGAGGAGCATGCCGACAGCATTGAGCAGGTATCTGGGGAGTGTTCAGGGCGGTCGCATCGCTGCTTTCTGATTCAGGCGGTGTAGGAGGATCGACAGTTGAAGAGCTGGCATTGTCTCGTATTGAATTGCTGTCCGAGACGGAGTTGACGGAGCGCTGGTCGGAATCTGCACGAATGCGACCCGAAGATTCTCTGAGCTTCTTGGGCGTGAGGAGACGAGGGTGTGCGTAATGCACTAGAGGTACGTAGATCTCCGTCGCTAGAGGTTCTTCTTCACTGTCGCTGTCGTATGCGCTGGCAACATCTACCCTCGTACCACCTTTCAGTGATGAACGATCAAGGATCCTCCCACCAAGTCCACCCTCTTTCAGCTTATCCTCCGGACGCACACTAACAACGAGCTTGAAGTACGCCTTCGAAATTTCGAATTTAATGTCTGAAGGAAGACCAACGACCTTCGTCGGCCACGGGCGCGAAAAGGCACGAACAGCTCTCGCACCGTCCGTCAGGAAATCATACGGATTTGAATGCCATCCAGCGCGAATCGCAGCTCCTTCTTCAGCGTCCTTCCCGTTGGAGCCCGACGGGCGATTCAGTTTAAACGCCTTGGTCCCAGTAATCAAACTCGCAGCACCGAGAGTTGCCAAGCTCAATGAGCTGGCCGCAGCACGCATCATGAGTGACTCGCCAGGTTGTATTGAATTCGTTCCTCCCTTCTTCCTTAACAGCACTGCCTGGCTCTCCCTAGCCTCATACATCCCCTCCGGAAGATCCAACGTCGATCTGCTGGTCATCTCCTGACCCGGGCCACCAATGTGTGATCTCGCCCGCAGGTCGTCAGGACTCCAGATACTCAGATCCTCCATGTTCCACCCATCACCCCACTCGTGCGTATGGTCGTCGGGACAGTAGGTCCATATCGTGTAGTTCAGCGAATTGGGACCATCACATCCGTTCAAGCTGGCATCGAGTGCTCTTTCCTGCTGCTCATAATCACCTTTATACTTCCCGCCGTCTGTCCATCCATACGAGCGCTTGCCGTCCATGTCCATGGGCGTGCCGATCTCGCCAATAACGGTGGGGTACGAACCGAGGATGCGTACATCGCTCTGCAGCATCCCAAGCTGTTCTTGAAGGGATTTGCGGATGGCTCCGGTGCCGATCTTGACTGCTTGTAGGGTAGAGGAGTATTTCCCGCGTAGAAGACCAAGCGCATCGGCGTTAAACCAATTCCAATGCCGCGTGACGAGTGTGAGTCCGTCGTAGTAGTGTCCAGAGTATGCACAACGTCCTTTGAGCTCCTCTTCCTCAATACGTGGTGGTGGTGCAAAGACAGGAGGTTGCACGAACATGATAGCTTCTGGATGTGCACGTCGTATGCGCTTGGTGAATGTACTCCAATGAGGCTTCCAATAATCGCTAATGAACTCCACTTCATCCCCATCCGACTTGAACCTGAAGTAGTCGGGGCGAAGGATGTAACCAGTTTCCACATCCCACACGCCATGCAGAGCCCAAATGCATTTCCCTAACGGCCATTTGGTGACGTCCCGCTTCCAACCCCACTTTGGATGTCTCCCATCAGGCTGCTCGCCGTCTTGGTCTTCGGCGACATCAGCCCACACCTTCCTTCCTTTAGGGTCAATCGTAACTGTCCCGTCTCTTGAAGGCCCAAATACCCCAAAGCTCCAATTATCCACCGTCTGCGCTTGGCCCATCCCTAATCGTAGACTTTGGGCTGGAGTAGGATATGTCCCCTTTTTCAATGTCGATCCCTGCTTCACGGGGGTCAAGTTAAGGTCCTCCCATCCACATAGACCCTCAAACGGCTCGTTCAAACTATCCCATCCAATGACACATTCCTCCAATAAACTGCCTCCATCAAACTCGCGTATGCGGTCTGCGAGATGGCCCATCGCCTCAATATAGTGATTCTGAAGCCAATCCTGGATGTTCATGTCGTCAATAATACATTCTGGAGCAAAATCGCGACCGGCGAAGAAGAGTGTGAAGACAGTCTGGGAGAGGAGACGGCCGTAGTTGGTGCTCCAGACCATGGCGGGGAGGGAGGCGGGGTCGGGCTGGTGTGCAAGGGGGTACTCAGAGTGGATTATGGCGGCTTGGGTGGCGGTGATATTGTATGGGTTGATGCCACATGCGGGGAGCGTCCAAAATGGCGCACCAGAGCCGCCGGAAAATCGGGACCACTGGAAACGGGAAGGGTTAGTAAAGGCGAATGAGGAAGATAGACGAATTAGGATGCGATGCTGTGAAGGGACAATCTACCCGTCCAACCATAAATGGTGAGGTGCTGGCATAGTGCGTCATCGTGGTGCGTTTAGCAAAGGGACGTCGAAGGAGCAGTAGGCTGAGAGAATGCAGAAGTTCTACACGCTGCTAAAAATAGCATTCTGCTTTGGCACCACTTAGCGCAGGCAACAGGAAGCTGATCTCCGTTCCCAAAGGTTTCCCGAAAATGGAGACTGCTGTGCGGAAACACACAGGTTATCGACATGAACGAAGCTTTGTCTCCTTTCCTGCAGTTTCCCCTGTAAACGATGCACTAGCTGGAACATTGCCCTCTATGCGTAAGAATATTCCGAAATGGAGCACTCTGACAAGAGGACATCCCGCACCATCTACGACGCTGTGAAAACTGCAGTGCCCGAACTACAGAGGCTGCTGACGACAATAAAAGTCATCCCCTGACCCCTCTAGAGGCGGATACGCCACTGTGTTGATAATAATACTAGCACAAAGCGCCAGGCCGACAGCACCGCACCACGACGTGAACTCTCGTAACTCACCGTATCTTGATGTGGATCCATGTAGACACGGAAACCATATTCCTTGCATTTTTGTAGTACTCGGATTGTGTAGTCGATGTATTCTTCGTCGTATTTGCCACTGGAGGGTCATCAGTGGTTAACTCGTAAACAATGGAGTAAAGCAAGCTCACGGCCCCTCATGCTCAATAGCCTCCCACGTCACAGGGAATCTCAGCATATTGTACCCCCAGCCCTTGAGTCTCCCAAGATGCACGTCGGCGGTTCCATCGTCGATGTTAAGTGGTCGACCGACAAAGCTCTCTCCGCCGTCTTCTGCGCATTCCCAGAAGTCCTCGAGGATGTAGGAGGGTCGCCCGACAGGGGCCTTGGATGCACCAGAAAGGTTGACGCCGCGAAGGAGGAGAGTGCGGCCTGCATTGTCGACAAAGTTGAATTCGGTGGTGTGGATATAGTGTGCGGGGGTGGGGTTGCCGGTCGTCGGTGATATTGAGGGCACTGCTGGCATCGTTTGTGTGAATAACTGAGTCGTATAGCGTCAAATGATGTGGCGAGCAGAACGGATGAAACGATGAGGAGGGGAGGTTGGTCGTCGTCCAGGACGTGGTGGAGGATAGAAGAGAATGATACAGTGTTGGGAGTCCGCGTGCAACTGCTCTCAGTGAGGTCATCTCCGAAAAATAGTCGTACCACTTGAACCACTTCCTTTTCAGGACGTTTCTCCATTTATTGCACACAATGGGATGTGCCCTGGCCGGCTGTGCCGTTCCGCTATCCGGCCCCACTCTAGACGCCCCCGCCCAGGGTATGTGTTGTCGGGGATCTTTCAGCTAACATACTCGTAATCCTACCCAGCCCTAGGCAGAACATCTACGTAGAAATTGCATATTTCACTCAGATGTTTACTCCGACCGATAACCAGCCGATGGGCAGCAGCAGATCGCCCATTTGCCTGGCATAACGCCACACCCACGCCATGTGTCCCTTGTCATAGTGGGGATATGGAGTCTGCTGGATGTGGCTTGCACAGCGCGCTCACACAAGGTGTATTTTCATTCGTCCTTGAAGTTGTAAACAAGAATACATTTAGACCACGACTGCGCATTATCTTAGTACACGGATGTTCATATCCTCCATAAAGGATGTCAACATCTCGCACAATGAGTGTACATCTTGCACGAGGGTTTCAGCCTCTCGCACACGAATGTCCACATGAACGCCCCAGCGCCAACGTCTCCTCGCCACTTGTTCAATGGTACCTGGTATCTCTACAGTCACTTGCCCTCCAACAGTACTTGGAGTCCACCCGCGGTAGATCCGCTATGAATAGGTACATGTGCTCGCGATTCGTTATCGCTTTCAAAATTCATTCAGCAATAGCTACCCTAGTTTCCACTATGTTCTATAGCGCTTTATAGCTGTAAATGAAAACACGAGAGGGATCGACACATCCGACATCGGTTACTACTAGCTTGCCGCTGCAAACTCTACCTGATGATGCCGGCCGCGATCTGCTGACCGCCAAGCCAGAAAACATAGTTCAGAACACCAAATTTGGATCGTATTGCTGTCAACGCGTTCAGCGCGCTCAAAAGAAGCTTGGAAGTCATGCTTGCTTCGCTTCCATGTCCACTACTTATTGATGAAATGGAATAAGCGTTATCGATACCCATTACCAACACTCGGGCTGTCTGTCGTAAGAAAAGAGTGTATTACTCATCCTCTTAGCCATAGGTACCCACTTCAATCCTGAACCGAAATTAAACCGAATCGGACTCGGATGTCCCTCTATTGAACTTCTGCTCCTCTTTCAGCAGATGGTTTGATAACAAAAAATTAGATGCTGCCACCGAGGACAGTAATGTATATAGTTTATATTTATTCAGCACATTTAGCAATTATCGTCTATGCATTAGGACCATAATTTCATCTTTCTCTGTCTAATAACAGCAGCATGGCGCAGCTGGAAGCGCGCGGGGCCCATATACTGTGATGTAACTTACATATATACCCCGAGGTCACTCGATCGAAACGAGTTGCTGCTACACAAAATTACGCATAGAATCCTTCTTTTTGAAGTAAGACACGTACAATGCCATTTAACGTAGTACGTAATAGCTTTTTGTATGCTTTCTACGTTTACTATATGCAATGATGTAATCCCTCTCTCACAGAATGAAAAAAGTTAGTGGTTAGAATGGGAGACACACACGCGTGTGATCGTAAAATCTGTTCAGACTACATCCTCAATATTTATCGCTAAGGCCAAGAGTAACATGTCCACCAATTATAAAAAGTCACTGGAGGTGTTGAACTTATGTGGCAATTCTTTCTTTTTGATGATGTCCTGTACATGACGACCAAAATAAATTAAGGAACTAAATAGGTTTAATAATTTGATGTGAACCCAAGGGTGAATTTGCAGATGCGGCTTACAGCAAGCGTTTGCAAAGCGCACCTACTCTGCAAAGAGTTCGAGCCAAAAGCTCGAGCTCAGTACTGTCGGGTGGATTCCCAGACCGTAATTATTTGTTTTAGACCGATCTTGCAACGGTCGCATTCGCCACCAAGCCTAACCCTCTTCCAGCATTCTACCATCCAATATCCATCCTCCTCCTCTGATAGACTGAGGTAAATGTATATCCTTTCTTTCTTTCTTTCTTTTTTTGTACTGAAGAAAATTGGTAATCCAACTTTAAGTGTGGGCTTGGCCAGGATCGTGCAACTATAGAGAACCTATAGCAGTTTTCCAACTCGCTCGATTTATCCTGTTGCATTAGTTCTTGCACCAACCCACTAAAAACCTCAGCTAGAGCGTTAATGAAGTACATTGACTTGTCCTTCAGCTCTGCCATACCGTTGGACCGGCTTTGGCTCGGGTTGTATATCCTTTCTCATTAGTGTTCGTAAAGATATCTAACTTAAATTTCCACTGCAGATCTTCCGCAGTGGCATGTAAGGAACACCTATCATTGACCAACGTGCGCTGCATGCCATCGAACAGCAGAGAATCCAGGTTTCCGAGGAATTGATCATCGCGCAGCACAAAGATGATGAATTCGCCCCAAGATACAGTAGCTCAAATATTACGGTGAAGTTTACGAAAGCAGCACACCCATTTTCTGCCTCCTAAGCGAGCTGCTCAGTCACATCTTTCAGTTTGCACATCATTCTGCATACGTGAATGAAGACGAAGACCAACTTCCATACCTGCGGCTGGACCCATCTGCCATTCAGCTATGCTTACCGCCGTTATCCAGCCTTACTATACTTCTGCAAATACGCAAAAGTTAGAACCACATCGCATGCTTCAGATGGCCACTACTAGGTTGAAGTTACTACTGCTTCAACACACCCATACAGCAGCTGACCCAGTGATCCTGGCTTTTTCCGTATCTTCAATGAATTCCATAGCGGACTACTCATTATCATGGACACTCACGCAGATCAGGCGCTGAAGCGAGCGTCAAGGTCACCGTCATAGAGGCGTTGAAGTCGCCTCGAGGCCGCGGCGGCCTGGACGTCCGTTTCCATTGCTGCCGTCTCCATTCACGATCGAACACAGAAGATGTTGAGACGGCACGTTGGTCCACACCGAGTTGCCTTAGGAGGCTGGTTGCCGATGGCCGTGGGGGTGTTGATAGCTGCAATGGCTGATAAAGTTGAAATCAGTTCAGGAGGTGAGGCAGGGAGCAACGGCGGAGGAGGTTAGATTGTAAGCAGGAGCGACTGAAGTTTCTTGTAGACGAATAACTTGTTGTACTGTACAAATATTCGTACATAGTTTTAAGTGAGGAATGCTGTTGTCATTTAAGTTTAATCGAAAGCTATGCAGAATTCTATATTCTCGTCAGCATAATGTGCAAAGAGATCCTTATGACGTGGATCAGACAGCACCGAAACCATTCTATATCATAATACATGCTCTGTCTCGTTAGCAGATAAAGGAAGGAGATATATAACATAAGTTACTCTTCAATAGACCTAAGTTGCGCATTCGAACGTTCGAGTTCAGAATCCTTTTTATCTACAGATAATAGAGTGGGGAACCACGGGTGTATCCGCGGATCCCATTTGAGCAAGCTGGCATCAAATGATTCTATGGCTTCCGCAGAGGCTGGGAGATTCTGTAGTCGATCGCATGCGTCTAAAAGGTATCGCGTAAACTGTACGACGATAAGAAAAAGTAGGCTTAGAGGAAATAATGGATTAACCTGTAGACGTTCTTTCCCCCAGTCAGCCGCCCATCCACCAACATTTTCTGAATGAACAAGCTTAGAGATGAGCGAATGAGCTAAATATATGGAATCGGCAGGACACAGTTCGTCTTCGTGCTGCGAAGTAATGTTCAGTTTTACAAACGCAGATATTGAAACAAATGATTACCTTCAGCACGTCAGAACACGCCTGCATAAATGTACTGAGCTCAGGATGAGCAACAGGCGGCATCCCGATGTTATCGTACTCCGGACGAAACGCCCACTTATATCGCCGATAGAAACTAGGTCTTATACGATTCCAGTCGAATGACATCAACGGTAGAGTTACCTAGTGGTCATCTATTTGTTAGCCTAGAGCTTAAAGACAATGCTGAATTGTACGAACAATGAAAAGTGCAGATAACATAGCCTGGAGCGCAGTGAGAAGCGTGCATTGATACTGCATTTCATGGAGTGCTGGGGAATCTGCAGCAACTAAGTTAGTAAAAATACTCAGTTGAAATTATACTAACACACTTTTAGGAACTTCATGCATCATGTCATCAAAGCATTCCAATTGGGAATTAATGATATGCGTCGCATACCAATAGGCGAATGGCCGTTCATCGGAGGTATAAAGCTCGAGCTGAAATCCAGAAAAGATGATTTCTTGAATGCATGACAATCTCCACAGTAAAGGAACTTTTGGGGCGTGAAGGATGAAGTGATTGCTAGGAAGATCCTAAATGATATCAGCGGGTCATGTAACGTAATGAGTATAGAAATTCACCTGCATGTTGAGTGACTCGACAATCTCAGTAAGTTGATCATAGACCGAATGCCAGTCAGCAAGACTTTTCATTAAATGCCGTCGGCGACGCGGGGGATTATACCACATTGACCTGATGTGTGGACTAATTAGCTACACACAGGAAGAGAAATATAAGCGGGTATGACATACTTCACGAGAAAAGGTGACGTGCCTTGTACATGGTACGCTCTATCTTTGTAAGAGGTGCAACGGAAGAGCCAGTCCAGCGCTCGTTGATAGTTTTGACGATGGTGTCATAAGTGACCCCGAGGGTTTCGAGGAAGAAGCGATCGACCATCCATGCGTAGGTATATTTGTTGAGGATAAGAAGGCCATCGTAGAAGGTACTCTACGAGTCGTTTAAGAAACAAAGATCAGCGATTGGAATAGAAAGCTCACTTGTGTAAGAGATCTAATGTATGGTGAGCGTAATGCGGGTTCAGACATCCAGACTCGCAGATTTCCAACAGCCTGATTATTCAATTAGCTTCCAAGGATCGCAGATATACAATATCACAAACCTGCCATGTCGCTAAGCACTCGTTATTAGCCAACAAACTGACTTCCCAGAATCCGTCCAGCATTTCTCCGATAGCTTTCCATGTCTGTTGAACCGGTGGCACATCCAAAACTCTTATCGGCACGAATGTGTTTAGGCGACGCGCGATGTAAGGGTCGAAAGCAAAATGCGGAGTAGTTCCTGGTTCGTAATTGGGGGAGGAATGGGCAGCTATGCTTCGCAGGTATTCGCAGGATGCAATTATGTGGGTTTGGAATACGCTTCGATCTCTTGATACATCTGTGTTCATAAGTTGTAGGAGACTCTACTAAATGTTTAGACGAAAAAGTGAGGTATCGAGGGGGGACATACTCTGCGTAATAGTAGTCTTTCACAAAGAGCATCCCTCCACGGATTTGAAACTGGTGAAAGATTGGCATAGGGTAGACACTAAAGTATTAGCTAACGTGCCTTTCCCTGAGTTGCACAGCCAATTGACCGCTTCATCGAGCTTTGCTACAACAAATTTCACAGGCACGCCTTCGAGCAACGAGACGTCGCATTTGTCGCTCTGCCAATCTTCAGCCTGTAAAATCTTAAGAATCCATATAACAGGGTGAACAATAGAAACATACATCCTGTATGCTTCCCTTGCCAAGCTCCCTCCAACCCAAGTCGCAACATTTCAATAACCCTTGCACGGCTGCTCTAAGAACGACAGTGATCAGCTCCAATGGACGCGATGGATGGTCCCTTGAAGATAATGGTATAAAATCGGGTTCGATATCATGAAGGTGGTGCATATAGAGGAGAGTGAAGACAGTGTGCTGTAGAAAGTTTCCCGCATGCCACTCCATCTGAAAGATCGAAAGATATGTCTGAAAATCACAAAGGGATTCGGGGTCGAGATTCACCTCATAGGCAAACGATCTATCGATAATCCAACACAATTCTTCCGGTAATAGTGGATTCAGTGGATTGAAGGGCGGCCGTCTCTGATTTTCGAGAATTAGACCACTATCTAAGCGTGGTTCTCCAATCTTGGATCCTGTAGTCAGACTCTATCAACGCACAGACGCGATCCACTCACTTCAAACGCGCTCATAGCATCCTGTAGAGTAAATCCGTCCATGAATATCATGTCCTCTGGCTCCATATCTATCATATGCCGTCGAATTGTTATAACATCATTGAGAAAATCAAAAGAAGTATACCAGCTGCAGCGTCTTCGAACAACGCGGTAACGTCATTATACTCGAGTCTACCACCAGGCAGTTGGTTGTTGGACGTATACACATCCATGTAGTCCCCGAGCACAGCGTCCAGAACAGACAGAAAATGTCTTGAGTCTTGAGACCGTAGAATGTCTTCAAGACGAGGATAAGAGATGTTACACAATTTTTGAAGTTGAAGCACTTAAGTATAAGAAGCACTTGAAAAGGAAACCAAGGTCAATTGACGTGACGGTGGCTGTGCTCCAAAATGCTCTCTTGCTCGTGCGCGACAGTCTGGAATACGCGCTCGTCGCTGTTCAGA